GGGAGATGGGAGCTGTTGCAATCAAACACCCTTCCTGCTCCAAGAAGGCAAATCGGAAAGGACCACCTCCCTTGCACATATGCATCAGAACAGATCAGGGCCTGGCAAAGAGCAAGGAGCTCTGTTACAGTTCTGCCACTGGGAACAAAAAGGCACAAGTGTCTCCGGATACTAACAGGGGAAAAAGTGCACACTGCCAGGCTCTGCTCCTTCTGAGCACAAAGTCTGGCTACTACGGGCCAGAAACAAACACACAAAGAACCAGAGGGCAAGAGAGGTCTTGCCATTAAAATGATCCCCACCTCCCTTCCATCCAACCAAAATACACAGCAGAAACAGAGACCCCGCTTCCTCAAAAATGACTGAGAGCTAGGAATGTCACACCTGAAGGAAACAAAGCCTCGGAGTCCCAGAAATCACATTCCCCTCGCCAGCTACCTACAGCCTTGCCCAGACACTGGAGCAGAATTGCTCCCCTGAATTTAATAAAATAGTTGCAGCTCTGCAATATGTGGGACAAGTTTACGGTAAAGGGTATCCTCAGCTGTTACTGCCCTGGCAGCCTTATCCCTTGTAATGCTTTGAGCCCTACACAGAAAACAGTACAACAGCATAGATGGTAAAGCCTAGAGCAAAGCCAGAGAGCAATGCCTGGAAGAACCTGGCAAAATAAGGGAAGAATGCTGGTGGGTTCCTGTGCAAAGCACAGAGCATGGTTCTGCTGCCCTACCACACACAGTCCCCAAACCCTGCACACACACACTTGGACAGTGCAAACACCAACCAAGAGAATTAGACATTTCTGCAGATGGACATCTGATAAGCAGCACTTGCATCCAAGAGCCCCAACACAGCTCCGCAGAGAGGCTGGCAGCACACACTCAGACACAGGCAGGAGACACACCGAGACGGAGGGACGCTGCCGGCAGGAACAGGGCCAACTATGCCTACACTCCCAGAGCAGAGTGGGCTTCACACAGGCCACAGTAGCACTGCACAGTCTTTCCTCTCCCTCCAGACAACAGCTCTGGGTGACCCTGACACCCTGAGGAAGACCTGAAACCTCCAGTACTGCTTCAAGCTCAGACATATCCTACCCTGTAGTCTATAGCACAAGTCCCCAAAACAGAGAACAAGCCCTGAAATGAGCTCACCTGCTAGATTTTCTGCCAGTCAGCTCTGAAAAATAAGCCTCCAGAGAAGCCCTGGAGACACAGAGGTCACAAGTAAACGTGAAAGATGCCAAGTAGAAACTTGCTACAGCCATGTTAACTATGCTCCAGAGCACCAGTGTCACTTCCCTCTCACTAGCTGGCATCACCAGGCTACTCCCACTGGACCGCCATATGTCACAGCATTGAGTGGTGTCAAGAGCAAAACTACCCAGCACTTGAAAGGCACTGTCACACAGCGTCTGGAACCCACACAACACTTCACAAGCACAAGCTGAAAGTAGCTGCCCCTGAAGCCCACAATGCAAATCAGACAGCAGATAACCAAGGACAGGTAAGAAAGCAGAAGTCCGCCAGCAAATACTGAAAGCACATGAGTGTACTGGACTGAGAAAGATCAGCTCCAGCAAGAGCAAGAAGAACCCAAGAACCACAGCGGGTGCTTGTCCTGCTCTTCCATGTCCCTGCAACGCAGACAAGGCATTCCACAACCACAAGAAGCCATGGCTTAGCTCCCAGCCCAGACAAACAATATCTTCACCCACAGTTTCCTTCCAAAACCCACACACCACTGGCACACAACAAACAGACCCAGCATGTCAAAAGCTAGCCAGCCACTGCCCCATCTCCCAGGCTCTGAGACATTGATGTCTCCAGTGTACCAGATCCCTAAGGAGACACCATTCTCTAGATAACAGTTCTGGTAGTTCACCCTGGAAATTACTTGGTCACACATCCCTCACAGCACAACCACAAACCTCAGCTGGGCCATCTTCTCCAGCCCCTCTGGACTGATACGGTCTCTGGAAAGCAGATTGCTGAGCTGCTGCTCCTGGTTCCCAGCCTCACGGAGGAGTTTGCTGAGCTCCTGCTGTTGCATGTTCCGCATCTGCTGCTCCATCTCAGGACTCAGAGGAGTTGGGGGGAGTGGGCCACACACGTACTGTCCCGCCTGGCCAGGGTACCCAGGGTAATAGGCTCCTGGGTACACACCATTGCTTGGACCCATAGGATACTGCAGGGAGTACCCGCCATAAGGATACTGGGGTCCTTGACCAGAAGCCCGAGGGTAATAGTAGGGGTTGTCAGAGTTTTGGAACTTATAGTAGGATGTCTGGGCCTGGCGGGCTTCTCCCCAGGATGTGGGGCTCACTTCATCGTCTGTGTCTAGAAAGTGAAGCTGAGCGGTCTGGCTCTTCAGGGCGGGTTTTTGGTCTGGGTTATTTGGGTCCCACAGCCTGCGAGCAGTGCCACCTCGGCCCCTGTTTCGGGGACCTTTACTCCCAGCCCCACCGAGCAGGAGTCTGGGCCCAGGGTGACTGGGTTCGGGGGAGCCCACAGCGCTGGCAGAGAGGTCCGTGTTGGCAGGCAGGAACAGAATCCCACGGCCCCTCCCTTGGGGTTCTCTGCTCTGGCTCCTTGCCTCTAAAGCCTCTGAGTCATTGCAACTAACAAACGCCTTCAGGGGCTTTTTTTTGTCTGTGTCTGCCAGACTGATATCCCTGTTCATAGTCTTGCTGTCAAATGTGACTCGAAAGGGTCCCTTGACTTCCCGGCCGTTGCTGCTCCATTCGCTCTCGCTCCTAGAAGCTCGGCTCTGCTCTGTACGCTTCTTCTTGTCCGAATTCCTGCTGGTGACATACGCTTCTGCCTCATCGATTCTGTCATCATCCAAGGAGTCAGTGGAGGACGCAGAGAGCTGCTTCCTAGGACGTATTCTTTCTCTGGCACGCTCCTGCCGCCTCCCCACCCCGTCCACGAGTGGGGCTCCGTCTACGCTGTTGTTGCTTCCAGCTGAACTTGTGCTGCAGGTGCGGTACCGGCTCCGCCGCTTGTCAGAGCGAGAATACCGTTTGGTAGAACCCAGCTTCCCCTGCATCACCTCGTCGCTTGTTCTCCTTATCCTGTCACTTCGCTCTATTCGTCTTCCTTTTTCTCCCCTTGAGGCTTTAATTCCTTCCCCTGCCTGGCTCCCCTCTCTGTCCTCCTTGTTTGATTTGGTTTTCCTGTTATTGTCTTTTCCAGTACCTTTCTCAATCTCTTCATCTCTCCCTACTTTCAGCTGCTCCATCTTACTGGTGACTTCCTCAGTCGCTGGCCGCAGGGATGGTTCTTTAGCAGCTGAATGCAGGCGTTTCCCAGGCTGGTAGATCTGCTGGTCCGGCTTCTTGGTTCTCCTGGTGGTCTTGGGACACCACTCATCCAGAGCAGGCTGCTTGGACAAGTTCTCCTGGCTCTGAAGATCACCTTTAGTCTCTATCTCTTCATTTTCCTGCGAAGGACCATTCTGCTTGGGGCCATCACCTTTGCCGAAATCCTCCATGACTGGAGCCCCTCCTCCCAAAGAGCCCTTATCACTGGCACTCTCCTCCTTGCCCTCCTCAGCTCTGCTCCTCTCCTTCTCTGATGTCTCATGCTTTGGTGGCACAAGTTTGCTCCTCAGTCGGGAGAGGCCAGGCTTGTAAATCTCCAGGTCTGGGCGCCTGTTGTCTTTGCGATGCCTTGGCTCCTTCACTTCCTTCATGTTTTCTGGGGAAAAATAAACAGAATAAAGTTATTTCCACCACAAACCAACCAGGAACAAAAAAAAAATCATGACAAATATTCAGGGAGAAATATTAAGTAAAGGCAAGGAGCCTACCATCCTCAGCGCAGGTCCAAGAGAACAGATCTGAAAATCCACGTCACAGTTTACAGGAAATCACAGAGCAAGAGTAGAAAATGAGAAAGTATAACAAAGATGACCAAGTCCTTGGCCTGAATCACTTACAAACCACATCCCGCAGCAGGTTTTGCCTCAAAGCATGAACAAGCTGAGAAACGGACAGCTAAAGCACAACGCAAGATGCATATGCAAGTACCGGGAATAAACTTTTGGCGTTACAAGTTTCAGCAGCAGTTGCCTGCCTGCTGCTGGGGCAGGAGCCCTTCTGTCTGCAGGTGCTGCCTTCTCCAACAGCCCCCCTGCTATGCCAACGGATCGTTTTGAGTCAAAGATGCGTCTCCCCCCCCCTTGCTCACAACTCAGTAAGTTTCTCTCCTCTCTGTAACTCTATTTACACAAAACCCCATCAGAGAACACAGCCCGCACGTCACGTAATCAAACATTTCACCAAAGCCGGGCTGTTACGCTCTGCATTTCCTCAACTTCTTCCTCCTACCAGTAACTCGCACCAGCCCGCACCACCGAACCTCAGCCACGCCAAAGCCACCGCTACCGAGGGGCTCGGCCCCGGAGGCGGCAGAGAGGTCCCCGAGGGGGCAGGGACCGACCCGACCTCCCCCAGCGGCTCCCGTTCTCTGTGCCTCGGCGTTTGTGTGCTCTCATCCCGGCGACAACCGTGTCCGGGCCGACGCGGGCCCGGCGGCCCTTCCCCGGCCCCTACCCCAGCCCCAGCCGGGCGGTGCGGCCGAGGGGCCCGGCCCGCCCCCGGGCAGGTGCCGCTGAGGGGAGGAGAGAAAGGCCTAAGCAACGTCTCCCGGCTCGCTACCGCCGCCCCGCCGATCCCTGCCACCCCCTCACCTCGTCCGCCGCCGGCCGCGGCGCGGGCCTCCGCCGCCACCATGTCCCGCAGCTCGGCGGCCGAGACGCGGACGCGCTCCAGCCCCTCCGCCATCTTCCCCTCCGCCGGAGGCGGGACGGACGGCGGCCGCGCAGGGCCAGAAAAAAAAAAAAAAAAAAAAAAAAA